GCAACGGTCTGCTAAATGCGATAATGGTACGTGAATACCGTACGTCAATCCGCACTAAAGCCGATAGTTGCTGTGATCTTAAAATATTATTAATAATATTCGTGTCCCATTAATCACTTAATGATCTATATCGGGATCAAAAAATGTCTTTATAACCCTAAGAAACTGAGTCTCCATACACGCCTACAAGCGTTATCATTACTATATGTAATGAGATTATACTTTTAGAAAAATTTATTACTTCAAGTATATAAATAGAGGGTTGCATGAAGCTGGTGTGGACTATAGGTTCTACTGAGTTGAACCGCGCCAACAGCACCATTGTGGCTGGTGTTGGATAAATTTGGTTGCCCTCGTAATTTGGTAAGTTTTATTGAATATCTACATAGTGGTATGCGGGCGAGGGTGCAGCTTAGTGGACAGAAATCGGACGACTTTGCTGTTGTCTCTGGAGTGAAGCAAGGTTGTGTCTTAGCCATGCCTGGTTTAATGATTGTCTTTGTGTCAACATGTCATGGGCCTTTGATGCTGCTTGTGATTCCCGCGTTCGTGTGGAGCATCTTATTAATGGTGATTTGTTAAACATTCATGGTTTCGGTGCGAGCAAACTAGTCTGTGAGATAAATATCCGTATGTTGCTGTTTGCTGACGACTGTGCATTGTTTACACGCAGCGCGGAGGAATTGCAACAGATGACTAGTGCTCTAACTTCGTCAGCGGCCAAATTCGGGCTCACCATCAACACAAGCAAAATTGTCTGTTTTATTCAGCCTTCACCGGAGATGCAATCTGCAATGGTGCGCAAATCAGCATGGGTGATGTCGTACTGGAAATCTCTTACCGCCTCTGCTTCCTTGGGTTTGTGGTTTAGACTGACCAGCAAATACACGGTGAGCTTGGTATGCTCTTATCGACGACAGCAGTTTCATTTGTGAAACTTGAGTACCGAGTGTAGAACAACCATCAGCTTACCGTGGACACGAAGCTGATGGTGTAAAAATCCATGGTGATGTTCGTTCATTATTACGTTAGTGAAACTTGGACGATGTACCGGCAAGATTTGAGATAAGTCTGGTGGTTTCCTTAACAGTGTCTGCGACAGAAGTTGCGAATTGCTTGGTGAGACAGAGGTGTAGACACGGAGTGTTGCGCCGAAGTGGAATGTATGCAATGAGCTGCACCGTTTTGCAGTGACACTTGAGGTGGCTCGGTCACGTGTGGTATATTTATTCGACGCAGATATTGAAGCTGATTTTATATGGTCAGCTGAGTGTGGGGAAGCGCCATGTGCGAAGACAGGAGCCTGATTATCAGGAAATGATGAATGTGAGTCGATCAAGTTCTAATGGTTATATCTGGTCTTGGGACTCGAAGACGCTTGATTGGCATGCATGAAGCCATCTGATCACGAAGGCAGTTGCCGAGGTGCAAGAGAATGCCTACTTGCATGTGGAGAAGAAACGGCAGGTGCTGAAGCGACGGCCGCCGATTTTGGGTACCCCATCGACGTCGACCGCATAGTGCTGTAGCACATGCGGTCACGAATGCCTGAGTCAGGTAGGTCTAGCGAACCACTAGCGAAGCCACTCGGGACCAACATCGAAACGACGACGGGTCCAGCTAGGAAAGTAAACAGAACCGGCGCAGCGTTGTTAGGTACGCTGTATCCGATTTACTAAACCCATGCTTGCGTGATGACTTTCTTTAGTTGAGCTGGTCGGTCTGCCACATATTGTTAATACTTACTTTGTAACCTCAGCTTAATGTGCATGCGCATAAACTCCTACTTACTTACACACGCGGCTTAAAGGGAAAATTGGTTAATTTCGTTAATTTTATTTGCGTGTGTCGTATCTTTTTATCTACTATTTTGCGGATTTGTTTATAAGTCATTTAAGTTATATGGTAATTTTGTGAAGACTCAGTTCTGCATATCCTTGTGCTTTAATCGATTCATTTCATTTGATTTGGTTATTTTAACTTACCGACTGTAGCTTGACATCCCCGGTGTGGCTGCTAGTTATGTGCAGTTGACAACGAGCCTACCTGCCTATGCAACGCGAAGGTAGCAGGTAAATATGCTTCTTAAGCAAACACGTGAATTCTATGCTACCTTGACCTTACCATAGCGAAGTCTGGAGATACCGTGGTTGTCTATACACCCCGCGAAAATATGCCGACGTGGTGTGATTTGCGTGCATGAAGAAACAGCAAAGTATAGAGTGGTTGGAATCAATTTAGCCATAAACAGCGCTTTACCAAGCGGTAAGTTTTGAAAAACGTAGCATTGATATAGCTCCCCAAAAATTTGTTCCAAAACTGTCATTTCCACAGTTTGTCGAACTTCGTCCGTTTCCGCAATATTGTGCCCTCCACTTTCATGGTAATTTGTTACATTATAACCCATGTGTCATGTAGGATGTGCAGGGCATTGTGGCCACCCACCAAAGACGTGCTATTAGTATAGTTTACGTTATATTTCTTCTACACCGGATTGTTTTGGGTTAATATGTACCAAGTGGTTTTCGACAGGAATGCATAATGGACATTGCAGAGTCAGGAGGCAGCCACACAATTTGCGCTTCTACCTCAGCTGTAATAACATACTTAATATTCGTTGCTCACACTATTTTATACGCCAATGCAAATCAGCGGACAAAGCAGGTTTTATTTCACCCGACATTTAGATATATATGCATGCAGTAGAATTCGGTAGGGGTACAGACTCACTAATAACCGCTGCGACGCGATCACTGGAAGAATAACTAATACATTCTGATGCCTACTGTCCTAAAGTTGGCTTTCGAAAAGTGCTCAAGCTGTTTTAGACAATTGACAATAAATAGCTTGCATATGATCAAATTACCCAACCGTTGGCAGGTGTGGCTGTATAGTTAACTGTCACGATAAACTATTTATGCAAACGACAGAATCGTTGCGACGCTCGAGTTACACATGAAACCTCCCTGGTTCAATCAAGAAAGGAAGCCGGAACGTTAACTACGGTACAATGAAACAAAATACCAACCAGATTGGAAAGTTAATTTGAAGTACACGTTGTGTGGATGGATTGCGACGCGCAATCTCAAAGTGGACCGCGATTCCCATTGAAGTGAACCTTGGCCAGTCGATCACTAGGACCGTAGCTGATGAAGCAGCAGCAAATTGGGTGTTGCCCGTCTGAAACCACTGCACTCCAACCAACCAAGTGCAATATGCATTGACATCAGTCTTATTTCAACTGGGTCTTTGCAATGCGCAGAAATAAGGCAAAGCAGCTCTTTTAATGGGTCCAACAACCCTACGCGATTTGCTCACTTCACAACGCATAGGTTGGTGGGTATAGTGTATATCCGGGACAATGGAGAGTGAAGGGAATACCGCAGTGGATGATCTGTGTCTAGAGAATATCTCAAGTGGGTATGGGGTTGGGCACGTATGCGTGTTACACAGTATGGGACCGAATTTATCTAACCGCCAGGGTTGGAATGAAAACACTTCGCTTGTCCCGAACAAATCTCTACCTTCATGCTGCAAGTTGTAATACAACTATTGAGCACTGAAACGTTAATCGCACGATGGTAAAAAAATAACTGGTATCAAGAGCCTCGGCAGATAATGTAGATAATATGGTTAGCTGAACGTATGAAATTCCCATACAGCCTGCGATTCTGATCGCAATTTTGCCGCATACAACGTACTAACTGTCTGTCATTATACACCTAGGTTGCAGCTATTCTGCGCTACAATTTAATTGTGGCTGTGCGTGAATTTATTTCTTATCACAAATTTTACTTAAACGTTACTGTTGGACTCATTTAATTCTAAGTCAATCAAAATGATTGGTCATTTCTAATGCAAAATCTAGCGGACACCAATGCCCTTCCGGCGCGCCACTTATTTGGAATATAGCTGTCCTTTCCTATGTGCACCTGAATTCAGTATGACGGATGAACAGCAGGAAATGGAGGTACAGTCACTCACGTGACCAAGCGTCTGAACAGAACATGTGGTATCAACCTCAGCATGTTAATCGCCAGTCAGTTATTTGCCGGGATTACACACGGACGAGCCAACATGTGGGCATTTACAGAGAAAATTTCTGGGCCTCGAACACCGACTTTCCAAACCGCATTCCAAAGCGAGGAAGCGTTGTAGCTTACTCAGGCTCCAAAGCTAAGTGTTAATTTTTAAGCAATAGGGGGAGTTATTAGGTTTCTTGTAGATGCGTCGCAGTTAGACACAGACAGACAGCCACCACACGCCCAGGAAAATGCTAGGCGGCCATTTCGTCCTATTCGGACTCGTCAGTAGCGCGCACCTGCCGAATCCTGCGGGATTCGAAACCACGACCTTACGCTTGCAAGTCAGCGACTTATGTCACTGAGCCATGGGTGGTAGCAGCGGACCGCCATGGCTAATATCTAACTGCGATATAGCGCAGCCCATCCTTCACTGTCTTGCATGTTATGATATACAGAGGACAGGGCTGGCCCCCGGAGCAACGACTTCATTTGCAAGCCGCCATCAATCGAGACGGCGGCAAGCGCAATGTATCTAGGATTTAACGCGTCCCATTCACGCTAGCAGCCTCAACACTACAGCTGACTTTTAAGATGCGATATTGAGGAAAAGCGACCAATTCAAGTGCTACATTAGTGTCGCTTGAATCTTTCTGCTACAAATGCGCAACCGCCCTCACGAGTTGTGCACGGAATTCGTATCGAGCAACTTTGCCTTGGATTCGCAACTCCTGAAGACAACATGAGCTTGTCATAAACCCACTTCATTCATATTCTGGTAATGTTTTTTCGGTTTGTCCGAGTGCCGCATCCCTTCAGTAGGTTGGCTATACAAAACCGGTATGTATATCATCGTGGAATTTATTCGGTATACATATACACATGGATTGGCGTCATATGTGTCCAATGGCATTTCGAATACCACCTAACGGCTGTTTAAGGTGCAGTTTACAACAAAAGTACACTCACATTCTTATCATGGGTGATTTCATCGTACATTGTTTAGAAGCTCCTGCCACAACCGGCGAACAATTCAAAACTGATTTACAAGATCTAGTAACTACTAATCCTCTTTACAACCACATCACTTTGCCCACTCGGTTTAGAACTGGTAACAGGCCATCTGTGTTGGATCTTGTGCTTACCAACGAAGAGCATATGATTGATGCGTTGGTTTTAGACTGCCCGTTGGGTCGCAGTGATCACGCAGTCATCAGTTTCAACTTCGTCTGCTATGCAGAATATCGGAATGATAACGATGATGCTGTGCGAACCATCACAAGGTACGACCGACTCGCCCAGCTAGTCAGCGCCACAACATGGTCTTTCCTCGAAGAAGAACCCCCGGAAGTTTCCTGGCTTGAGTTCGTCAACACATTCAGTCAGCTGATTGCACAGGCTTCAGAGATAAAAGCTTGCAATAAGTGCAAATCTGTTTCTTTCGTTAGGAGCAGTACCCGAAAATGGATGACAGTACGCAACGTAGCATGGCGAGTGTACAGAGAAGCTCCAGCACCAGAAACTTGGGACAACTACGTAGCCCAACGTAACCACTGCACACAACTGCTAAGCGAAGACAAAGCCGCCTATCAGCAGAATATCGCAAAAACCTTCAGTGCTAACCACAAACTGCTGTATAAGCACGTTAACAGCCTACGAAAGGTGAGGCAAGGATTTCCTCCACTCAAGACGGCTGATGGCCCATAAAGAACGTCTATGGAAGCTGCAAACGCGCTGCAGATGCAATACGCCCCAACGTTTCAAATGGTCTTGCCACCAAGCTATCTACCAAGCTTTGTATTCTGCTCACCAGGACTAACCCACATCAATTTTACCGCAGAGGCTGTATTGCGAAAGCTGACTTCTCTACGCAAACACAGCTCGCCGGGGGCCGACGCCATTCGTCCTGAGGCATTGGGAGTAGCAGCAAACCAACTGGCAGGATATTTAGCTCAGTATTCCAGCACTGCTTAGACCGGAACCAAGTTGCCGCCATGTGGAAACTTGGAATAATAAGCCCGATCCACAAAGGTGGAATCAGATCTGATCCCTCCAACTACCGCCCAGTAACCCTTCTTCCTATACTCTCCAAGCTCATGGAATGCATAGTTGTCGATGCACTGGTGTGCTATCTGGAAAACTGCAACCTCATCACTCCTGAACAGCACGGTTTCCGTCGACAGCGGTCATGTACAACTAATTTAATCATTGCACGCAGTAGTTGGACCGAGGCAGACGAAGCTAGAGAAGGTGTTGATGTGATCTACCTGGATTTTTCCAAGGCTTTCGATCGTCTAGACCATCGGATACTACTATCCAAGCTGCAGCATTACGGGATCGGTGACCCTCTTATTATGCTAGATCGCTAACTTTCTATTTCAAAGGCAATTAGTGGTCAGAGTTTGGAGCTCTTTATCGGACCCCATACAAGTCGAGTGTGGTGTGCCGCAAGGCTCGGTTCTAGGTCCACGTTTGTTTTTGTTGTTTATTAATAACCTCGCACAGGGAATCGCTTCAAACTTCCTAATGTTTGCCGACGATATCAAGATCTGGCGCAGGATCCAGGCGAACGCCGACCAACACGTGCTCCAAGGTGACTTAGATACAGTGTATCAATGGTCGATCCAAAACTTATTGCATTTCAACGTCAGTAAATGCAAGGTGCATTCCATCCGACATCAGAGCAGCTACTCATACCGACTCGGAACGGATGTACTGCAACAAGCAACTCTCGAACGTGACTTGGGTATCCTGGTTCAAGATGACTTGGGTTGCTCCAGACAATCCGAAAAGGTCTCGAAGACCGGGAACCAACACGACGGGCTGTTGAGGCGGGCGTTTGGACAAATAAACAGCTCCATATTTCGACAAATGCTCAGTGCGTATGTTCGCCCCCATGTCGAATATGCAATTCAAGCCTGGCATCCATGGCTGAAACACGACCTTAATGCACTGGAGCAGCCTCAACGCCGGGCATCTAAGAACGTAAATGGAATGCGCAATCTGTCCTACCAGGAGAGGCTGCGACGACTGGGGTTGTTCAGTGGAAGCTATCGCAGGCTACGAGGCGACCTGATTATGACATACTTGATTCTGCGAGACCCACATCATGTGTGCCGCCCTTTACTGCAACTCAGTAGCAATACAAACCTGAGGGGCCACTCATTAAAACTCGCAGAACAATACAGTCGTCTGGAGTGCCGCAGAAATTTCTTTTCCATCCGTGTCTGTCACCCGTGGAATGCTCTCCCAGAATCGATCGTCTCTGCACCGACACTAACAATATTTAAGAGACGGTTGGACGATGCACTCATCCACTTACACTTTGTTACTTAACACTATGTCTCCATCCTACACTTGGAGTTTACCCTGGAATTATTTGTTGTTAACTGTGAGTGTTGTGAATCTAAGTGGATCGCAGGACTGCAGCGAAGCAAACGATAGGTCCTTATTTTCGCATTTAAAGTGTTAACTATTTTACTATCCTTTTCATCATAATTATTATGTTGATATCCCCACCAACTATCCAACGGGGCTTGTAAAGCAACGCTTCTTAACCCGTATAAATTCATTGTTCATTGTTCATTGAATAAAACCCATGCATATGCATTTGTCCAGACTTAAGTATTGGCTGCTATAAATTAGAAAGAGACACATTAGATCTTATGAACAATAATGCTAACCATATGTATAGGCATCGTTTGGAGGTCAGGCTAACAGCCACTTGCACAGCCATGAGAATAAGTATCCAGGACGAAATGTTGATGTTTGCTCTAACATATAGACATGACAGAATTAATGTAGGGGCATGCATATTTGAACGGGACTGATATGGGAATAGGGACGCAATTGCCATCAGTTCGGATGCCAGATAGCATGGGTACCAAACAATTGGTACAGTGAAATAGTGTGTGCTTAGCCATTGAATCCTTGAAGCACCTTCTGGTTTGCGTAGCTGATGAGTGAGATCGCACAGCTTGCGAATGCGAGGGATCGTCCATTTGAGTCACGCAGTGTAACCGACCGGTCCGATCATCTGCTGCCCTAGGTGCATTTACAGCGCTACGCTAAGCTTTGACAGGTGTCAATACCACATATTCCGCGCTTACGGCCTCCTTGGAGCGACAACTACCGACATTCTACATCCACTAATCCCCGCTATTCACTGTCAACCATGGGGCATACCAAAGAGTGTTAGCACTGTTTTGCAGATATCCAAGCCGTAGCATGGTTGTTATCCAAATACTTAGCCCTTTGTACATACCACTGTTTACTCTGCTGTGGCTGTGAAGTAGTTTTTACCGATCAACATCGTAGGTCTCAAATATAGCCATTCGGTGCTCCTAGAACGATTGTCGCTATGCGTCGATTCATTTCCGATGTAATATACTAAAACATTGACGTACCGTTAACTTTGACATTACGTTTTTCTCAACTTATCCAGAAGACAGTATATCTCAACGAATTTATCAGTGCCTAGAATAGTAACTGTGTCCAATCAGTTGGATTCGGATGTTACATCGTTTTGTCGCTGTTTCGGAATCAATCTTGATGAGTAGTCTGAATCGCAGTGTAGTTAGCTGAAGTCGGCAGCAGTCTGGAGGCACTTGATATGGGATATACTGACCTCAGATTACAACTCGCAATAAGTCACTGTGTCACACCAGAAGAAATGGAATAATACTTATCTGTCAAGTGGGCACGTAGTGAGAAACAAACAGATGTTCGCGAGAATTTGAATTTGGGCTATCCAGCTTTAGACATCCAGCTAGCAGATGATGGTCTCACGCGAGTGAAAATGCTATCAGTCTATAAGATTGAAGTGTGGCGCTTGCAACTGTTTCGAAATGGCTGTCGCCTAGTCATTCAACCTGAGATAGCTGTTGACATATCAAAAGTCGTCGTCGTTTTGATGACATCAATATTGGCGGGATTCAGGCGCCGGACGTTTTTGTCGATGATAAAACCAAAGAAATTTGATACTTTCTAATAGGAACTCATATTTTTCCGCTCGTAGTTCAGTTCAGTTTTAACCGACCGCTAATCGCTTTTTGTGTGGGCCTTTGGTTCTTGAAGTTCAGTTGCGCTGCATGGTAGCATGGAGTATCCCAGATAGAGATGCGCTCACGTGTGTCTCCCTGTCCCGTCAAGTGTCGCTAATGCCATGTTGTCTACAATTCTGCATGATTGTGGAGGTAAATATTTTACTGAGATTGCACGTTCAAATGAAGCGATGTAAACTACTATCTGTGCGCCTGCTATCTTTAGCCTAGTCTCGGTAGGCAACCTGGAGCGACGCCTCAACCAGCTATCCAATAGGATTTTAGTCATTCCATCGGAGTATAGCACAAATTTCGATATTTTTGGACTGCAGTCCTTGTACTTGGGAGATGAAGGAATTATCGTTAGTGATTTGGCAATATCGTGGTTCAGAGAGAATGTTTCGCGGATGTAGCACCACTGCTCTCGTCCATGTATTTGCACTTCGTGCTCAGGAGTGCCCAGTGGTTCAGGAACACCATGAACAAATACGGATTTTGCTTTGGTTCATAGAAGTGCCGCCATGGTATCTTTTTTAATTTGGCGTACTTTCCAAAGCATATTGGGTAGTATGCGTACTCCGCTCGATGAGTTACGAGGATGAACTTCTGAGAGGAGGAGTATCTCTCTTCTCATTTGAATTCAAGGTTAATCGAAGTAATCGGGGTTCACCGTTGTACACTGAATTTGGATGACGAGCTACACCTCGTAGCCCAGTTGGGTCAACCGAATACAAATCGCATCGCAGATGGAATGCCACTGGTTGCGATCATCTACCAACTTGCCCTTCATTGTGCCAGAACTGGACTCAGGAACCTTAGGGCACACGACTGTTCACGCAATGTGGTTCCGTTTAGCGAATATTGGTTTCAGTGCTTTGGCTGTTACCTTGGATTGTTTGGCGTGCAGTAAAGAACGTTGTGACAACGGTATCGCATCGCTCGTGCGTGGTCCAAAAATTGGACGTACGGCTGTCTCTTTAGGAGATTTTATCCAGGCGAACTATGCGTATGTTACTCGGCTCTGGACTGTATGTGTTAATGTTCTGATTAACTCGTGAGATATGGCGTCTAGGGATAAGTTAATAGCAGTCATGCTGGATGTGTCTTGCATACTTGGTTAGTAACTGTCGTAGTAGGTAGCACGGATGTCGTCGGTCGGTTAGCAAGCCTGACTTTAGCCTTCGTCTTAGGGAAAGATCTCTGACGGGTTTGTTGTAGAGCAACATGGGTATTGTTAGTTTATAATAGCAAACCTCTGAAGCTCGCTACATGCTGAAACGTTTCAGTAAGTTTTAAGCCCTTTTCAAGAGCGAAATCATATATTTGACTATTGGGATTGCTGTGTATGTTTGCAAAACCAGAGCGAAGCAATTACTTGAGATGTCTCTAGTGTTGTTGTTGACTTAGACCAACACAGAGGGTGTGAAACAGAAGGCCGCAAAATTTACACATAATGTCTCGCTTAACTGCTTGTATGCACTCTTACTTCCCACATTTGCGGTTAGGTGGAATCAATTCCATTGAGGACCGTTATTAAAAACGAACGCTGCCCTTGTATAATCACGGAAGGTAGAGGGCGGGTGACGTTCTCCTTCTTTGTCTGAGTCGCACCTTGGACGTCGGTTTCCGTAGGCGAATGCGCATGACGTGGACACACATTCACGG